AAACAGCAATAATAGCACAAAAACGTAAAAACATCGTTGAGTGATTTTTTTTTCTTTCAAAAAGAAAGTTTTAAACTAATAAATAAATTCATAAATAAATGAAATAAATAAATAAATCAAAGAAATACAAGAGAAAATTTAGAGAAATTATATTTTCAATTTCTTCAATTCTCTCTTGGTCTCCTTTTTCTGTTTAATTTCTTTCTCTTTTCTTCCTTGCTTTTTTTTTTTTCACATAGCATCAGATATTTCTAATTGTACATGCTGACGCGTTGTCAACAATTCTTCCAGTTATATTGAAAAGAACGTTGATCGATAATCACAAACCAGAAGACCGGTAAAATCCGTGTTGATTTTTTTTCCATAGACACTCTATAATATTTAGACGGTCTATAATATTTAGACGGTCTATAATATTTAGACGGTCTATACCAACTGCCGTACAGTTCTTTCATCCGAGTTAAATGTCCGCAAGAATTTATTTGAAGTTTATATCAGAAGATTTAGTAAATAATAAATAGCACAAACGGGGAATGACAAGGAATTTTACTGTGCGATTGCTTGCCTAAAATGAGACATATCACCTTTCATTATAATCTTAAATATCCTCAATATTATATATATATATATATATATATATATATATATATATATATATATATATATATATATATATATATATATATATATATATCATTGTAATATTTAAACATGTATCAGGTGACATATACTTTGACCTTCTTCGAGTGATCTTTAGATGTCAGTATATATTTTTATTGTTGCATTTTTATTGTTGTCTGAGCTTCTGATTCTTACTCATAACTACTATTATTGATATTAATAACCGCTTTTTGAACATTTGTTCCAACTCAATATATATATATATATATATATATATAAAGATGTAGAGAGAGAGAGAAAGCGATGGAGCAATTGTGTGTGTGTGTGTGTGTGTGCGTGCTCGCGCGCGCACGTGCACACGCGCTTTTGTACATCGGAAGAAACACTGCATGGTAGTTGTCATTGTCAAGCTTCAGTGCGATTTTCAAACCATGTCAACATCCAGTGTAGATCCTATGTATTTTTGTACTTGTTTTTTTCACAATAATCTTCCCTCCGTACAAGACCCGAGGGTCACACGAGGTAGAGGGTAACAGGGCAAGGGACACGGTTTATGCGGGTATGTGGCGAAGATTAACATTCTCGGGGAAACACAAGTCGGTTCCACAAAGCAACGGTTCGCAGGAAGATGCTACTCAATTGGAACTTACATCTCACCAAAGGAATACGAAAGGAATGAAGGTGGTTTGCTACGATGTTCGTCGGGTGGTGGATCTTAACCGTCAATGTTAGAACTGGTGGAGCAAAAACTTACCATGTAACTAGCTACAGAGCAGCGAAAGACTTGCAACGTCTCGTCTGTGAGAAAGGAGTTGTAGCTTGAAAAATAATTCGTCACCGATAACGACGCAGATACGTTTTTGGACTCTATCGAGAGTGGAAAGCGACAACTGGGCAACTCCTATCCATATATGACAGCAGTATTCCATTTCCGACCTGATGTTCCTCTTGTAAAGGTAGAGAATAACAGGAGGATTTATGAAACAGACCATTTTCAAGTATCTTTAGTGATGGATCGTATGGACGAATTCCACTTGTGACTTCCGCTGTATAGTCACAACAGTCGTTCAAGTGTCTAGATCTGTTAAAACTTGACTAATGCATGGAATAATAATACAACACAAAATGTAATTAGAACAAAATGTATTGAAACAAGAAAGTGTACACAATATTTACATATAGTCTTTTGTATATTCTTGGGAAGACCGTTCCTGGAGAATGTGTTGACTTAGTCGCAGTCGGGCAGAGTCTCTGGATTGCATCTCTTGATTCCTCTCCCCGTCTTCCCGGTACCAATAAGATCTGTAAACGCTCTATCTCCGATATTGAGCACTCTTTCCCTATATATATATATATATATAATAAATATTAAGCAATATATTTGTGTGTGCGTGCGTGTATACATATTTATGTAGATAATAAATATATTTATGTAGATAATAAATATATTTATATGCATATACCCATAGATAACTCGGCAGCATAAGAATGAGAAACACATTTATTTCACGCAACAAATATGTGTTGGTGCAATCAGGGATAAAGATTATGAAAACAAATCTAACATTTTGTATTGAAAAATTTCGATATAAATTCAAATTATGATTTCAGACTTATTTTTCGGCTCTCCATTAGACAGATATAGATATATTGATTATGTGTTGCAATTTACAACATTAAACATTATCTAGATTATAGTAAATTGTACAGAAAAATAAGTGAACATGTTCTAAAATAAGAAATGCACCAATAGTAATCACTTCTGTTATAAATACACTGTATAACCTCTTAGTTTATTAACAAAGAACTGTATTTTTATATGCATGCGTTTGCAGAGAAAACAAATACAGGGTGTGGCATAAATACCTCACACATTTAAAACTGTAACATTTCTGGCGCCAGTGATCTTAGACCAGTGACAATGGTGTCTTCATCTAGCCATTGTCTTACCATATTCTTTCAGTTATCGTCAATTACCATCATGGCTTGGACCGGTGTACACCGTGTGTTTTCTTTTGAAACTTTTTTTTTTTCAAGACTGCTGAATCTATAATTGAAACACAAAGATTCTCATGCTACTTTCGTATTACGTCGGAATTATGTTATTCCGGATAGAAAATCGATACTGCTATGGATTGAACATTTCAGGTTTATCACTTATAAGAAAGGCACCTTGAGAGCTCGAGGAAATTCCGGGTGATGGTAAACTTTAGAAATTGTCTCCAATAGTGGAGGACGTCATTTTAAAATCAAATGGCTAAAGACTTTCGCCCTTTGTTTAAACAACAGTGAAATAAATTATTTAATAGCAATCACCTTGGTCTTTTTGTCAACCTTTAATATATGGAAGGCATTTCTTCAGTCCCCTGTACTATACTACTATATATTATTCGACGTCCCCCGCTTCTATTGAGGCAAATGCCAAGGTATATCAGAAAGAATTAGGCATTGTTGCAACAAATTGCATACATGCCCAATGGAGGACATACATTGTAAACGACTCGCTCAAAGAAAGTTACTGAACATTCTGGAGACATTGTTGACTTGTACGTGCAACATGCAGGTAGGCATTATGTTGCTTGAACAATGGGTTGACTTATTGTTACAGGAAGTGCATCAGAAATGGTTAAACAATGTTCTGGAAGAACATAGAGCTGTTTAACCGAAAGATCATCACCTTTTTTATATTATTGTTCACAGAATACAAGGTCCGATAGCCATCAAGGCAAAATAAACCAAACCAACCGGCTATGCATTATGTTTACAAGAAACAGATAAGCCCCAAAATGGATGACTTGTTGCAATATTTGGACTGTCATAACTGTCCAACCATGACAGAATCCAAACGCATTTATGTTGAAGACATTCGGCAACCTACTGAACTACTGAATAAGATTATTATAAGGGCTTAAAAGAAGGAAGTTAGAAGTGCATATTATAAGAATATGTAAGATAGATAACGTTTGACCCTAGAGTTGCAGAGGTTAAGATAGTGTTTGTGGAAACATCCTCTTGAATGTCTATTCCACTAATTAACAGATCTGCTGTCAGAATGAAACTTCTTCATTACTAATGGAATACAAAGGGAATGAAAATGATTTGACCCTGTGTACGTGATATAGTATCTCCCAGTTTTTAAGGTCTGGACTGGTGGAACTAAGGAATGTAGCTCGTCTTAACATTTACCATCAACATGACGACAGATTACCGAGAGGCTAGCATCTGTAGGAAAGGGGTTGCCGAATGTCTTCAACATAAAGGCGTTTGGATTCTGTCATGGTTGGACAGTTATGACAGTCCAAATATTGCAACAAGTCATCCATTTTGGGGCTTATCTGTTTCTTGTAAACATAATGCATAGCTGGTTGGCTTGGTTTATTTTGCCTTGCGGTATATCAAGCTCAATAGGTTATTTAATGTCGAAAAGATTTTTAGTATAATTTCGTATGGATAAAATATGTATTCTCAAAAATATATTGCTGGTAATATTTTTTTTCAAAAAATGTATTGCTGGTAATTTTCTTTAAATGTATTGTTGGTATTTTCATATGCATTGTTGGTAATATTTTATAAAAGTATTGCTGGTAATAAATTTTTTTTCAAAGATGTATTGTTGGTATTTTTACTATACAAATATATTTTTATACTTCCATGTTATTTTGACTCGAGTTTCGAGGTTAACTATTCGCCCATAGCTAGGACCCTAACAGGTGCTCTCACTGCGGGTCAGGGTGGACCTAGGAAAAAAGGCAATTAAGAGGGGGTTCCACGCTCTCCAAAACCTCCCTATCTTGTTGCCGGTTGTAGTTTATCGTCATACCCAGGACGAATCATGGCTGGAGAAATCACTCTGCATTGATACAAGGAACCGGCTATTTTCCTAGAATTTTAGCGATAATATGTCATCACTGAATATTACAGAGTACCATTTGCTTTCACTTAACCTTCTAGGGAAACCACTGTTGATTATGCTGCGGGATGAGTGAGAGTTTGGCTAGAGACAAATAAGCATTTGTTGTGACCTCAAGTGAGGACGCCGTGATGTCTAGCAATGTTGCCATTACAATTTCTATTTGATTAATGCAACTAATATCTATGCACCAGCGATGCATCCAAAACCTGCTGCCTTTCCCTTCTCGAAATCCTAAAAGCAGTTCCCTTGCACTTCAGATAGCTGGAAATTTTGAACACTTTTCTGAATATTGACTATCCAGTAGTATGCACATATTTTACCTCAGGTGAAAATCGGATCGATCCTTAGAGTGTTACAGTTTTGTTTTCCGTCAGTGTATATAGATTGGATGGCGCAAAAGAAAGAAAGAAAGAAAGAAAGAAAGAAAGAAAGAAAGAAAGAAAGAAAGAAATCAGTATCGAAAACATTAATGTTGTTCAAAAGAAAGAAAGAAATGAAGAAGGAAAGAAAGAAGGAAAGAAAGCAGTAAGGTAATTGAAAAGAAAAGAAAAAAAAGAAAGAAAGGACAAACCACTAATGTAGTTCCGTATAGATTGGATGTCGCAAAAGAAAGAAAGAAAGAAAGAAAGAAAGAAAGAAAGAAAGAAAGAAAGATATCAGTATCGAAAACCTTAATGTTGTTCAAAAGAAAGAAAGAAGGAAAGAAACTAGTAAGGTAATTGAAAAGAAAAGAAAAAGAAAGAAAGGTCAAATCACTAACGTAGTTGGAAAGAAAAAACGAAAAGGGAAATCATTAACGAAAACTTTAATGTCGTTAGAAAGAAAGAAATAAAGCAGTAAGTTAATTGGAAAGAAAGGATAAATTACTAATGTAGGCGGAAGGAAGGAAGGAAGGAAGGAAGGAAAAAAGAAAAAAGAAAAGAGAAAGCAGTAACGGAAATCTTAACGTCGTTCGAATGAAAGAAAAATGCAGTTCGATGTTCAAATATTCGTATATATTTTGAAAATATAAATCTTATATGGTAAATCTTATCACAGATATACTTTATTGCTGTGAAGTCGTTTTGTTTACGGTTAGATCACTTTTAGAATATGCCCTGTTATTGCGTGTCGCTGTCATTTTCCTTTGTCATTCGGAAATATCTTGGTTTTTCTATTTTTGTATGATTGTAACTGATAAAGCGAGAAGATGTTCGTGTTATTTTTTTAAAATCTAAAAATAGGAGAGAACAGAGAAAATGATAGCGTGCAGCGAAACGATGAATGAAAAAAAGAAAGAAAAGGTGAGAATAAATGATATCATGAAAAACTAATGGAAATAAAGCAGGAAAGAATAGAAGAATAAAATAACAGTTGGACGGAAGAGAATCAAAGTTAAAAGGCCCAAAAGAACTGGATATACAAAAGGAAGGCGATTTAAACAAGAAACAGAAGAGAACAGAAAGAAAAAGAAGAAAACAAAGATTTTATTGAAGAAATAGTCAAAGAAAATAAAAGATTTAAAAAAGAGAAAAGAAGAATAAATATAAAAAAATATGAGAATGAATATCAAAAAATAAAAGAATGAATATCAAAGCGGCGAAAAGATTAAAACTAAACAAATCCTGATGAAAAGATCGAAAAGAGGAATGAGAAAAGACGATAAAATGAAGGAAATAATAAGAAAAAGATGAAGTAAAATTCTTCGAATCCCAAATCTCTTTCCAACGTTGCCAATAGTCGATGTTCGATCCAAGGCAAAATATCTGTTTTCCGAAAGCTGATTTTCTAACCAGGCAGTTGATTAAATCCTTTGTTTTTTTTATATAGCTTACCAACCCTTTGTCCATTATTTAAAGCTGAAACAGATTTCGGATTGTGCTAAGTAACTTACAGTGGCCAGTGTTCTCAAGCTGGTCCCACATCTAAATAATGCTCAGGCTCGTCTTTTCATAAGTTCGGTTTTAGAACGAGAAACGTTGTTTTCATCCAGACAGTCAAGCTTAGCCAATTTGGAGGACTAAGATAACACAATTTTCTTCCTCAGTCATTTGGAGCTGTGCCATAGTAAGCTAAACTTAGTAAATATGATAAAGAAAAGGTTAAGAGTAATAGCTATTGAAAAAGATGTAAGTTTGGTTGATAGAGAAAGAAAATCAGAAACGATACTAAGAAACAAAAAACAGAAGAGAAGGATTTTGTTTTTGTTTTTAAATATGTAAAAAAAAAAAATCTATATTTAAACATCGAACAAAAAACTGAGGGAAGAAATGAAAACCGAGGATAAAACGACGAAAGAAGAAATAAGGAATAGATAATAAAGAGAAAATAAAAGAAAAAGAAATACAAAAGCAAGGAAAAGGAAGGAAGGAAGGAAGGAAAAGGAAGGAAGGAAGGAAGGAAGGAAGGAAGGAAGGAAGGAAGGAAGGAAGGAAGGAAGGAAGGAAGGAAGGAAGGAAGGAGGAAGGAAGGAAGGAAGGAAGGAAGGAAGGGAAGGAAAGGAAGGAAGGAAGGAAGGAAGGAAGGAAGGAAGGGAGGAAGGAAGGAAGGAAGGGGAGGAGGAAGGAAGGAAGGAAGGAAGGAAGGAAGGGAGGAAGGAGGGGAGGAGGAGGAAAGGAAGGAAAGGAAGGAAGGAAGGAAGGAAGGAAGGAAGGAAGGAAGGAAGGAAGGGAGGAAAGGAAGGAAGGAAGGGAGGAGGAGGAAGGAAGGAAGGAAGGAAGGAAGGAAGGAAGGAAGGAAGGAAGGAAGGGAAGGGGAGGAGGAAGGAAGGAAGGAAGGAAGGAAGGAAGGAAGGAAAGGAAGGAAGGAAGGAAGGAAGGGAGGTAGGGAAGAGGGATAAGGAAGGAAGGAAGGAAGGAAGGAAGGAAGGAAGGAAGGAAGGAAGGAAGGAAGGAAGGGAAAAAGACGGAAGGTAGGGAGGAACGAAAAATGTGGATGGAAAATAGAAGGAAAAGGGAGAAAAAGATGGAAATGAAGAAAAGAGAAGAAATATAAATAAGAACTGTTTCAAAAATGCACGGAAAGATTAAAAAAAGAAAACGAGCATCGAGAAAAAAAAAATAAAATAGGAAGGAAAATTGAAAAATGAAAAAGGAAGAAAGATTCATCACAGAAAAAGAACATGAATGAAAATGAATGAAAAATTTTTAAAATGGGCGAAAGAACCAGTTGTCTGGTCAAGGGATTGAAACTGGATTTTAATTCAAATAAATTGTCAATGAGAAAGAAAGCCACTTACAAAGAAATAAACGAAGAACAATATTATGAAAAAATGACAAAACAGGGAATTAAAACTTAAGCGAAAAAAGGGACGTGAATGAAAGAAAGAAAGAAAGAAAGAAAGAAAGAAAGAAAGAAAGAAAGAAAGAAAGAAAGAAAGCAAAAAGAAAGAACGTAAAAGAAAAAATTAAACGAAAGAAAGAAAGATAAATTGAGAAATAATGTGCTGAGAAAATGAGTGAATATTGTTAATGTTAATTGATTACACTAAACAAATCAATATAGAATGAAACAAAAAGAAACAGACTCTGGATGGACGGTTAAAAAATAATTAAACGGAAAGAAGCATAAAATATTAAAGAAATATAAAGGAAGAAAGAAAGAGCAAGATTAATTTTTAAAAATATACGAAAAACAACAATAAAAAAAATTGAAGAAAAGAAAGAAAAAAGAGAGAGCGAGAAAGAAAGACGGTAGCTTTGGTTGCTAAGAAATATAATCCGGGGGAACAAAAACAGGAAGATGTGTTTTTAAGAGGTTGAAAACGAAAATGATTTTCTGTCTGAATTCCTTAGGGATTGTCATCATTATCCTCTGACTCATTGAAAATGTCGTTCTCATCTTGGTTGTTATATTCAAAACATTTTGGTCGGTATAACCTCCGGCCTTCTGCAGGTGCCTGTCGCATTTCATGAATAGAGAAAGAATGGTGTTTTATAAAAAGAGAGAAAACGTTGAGCCTTGAAAACGTCAAACGCAACGCAACAAAAAAAAAAAAAGAGAGGGAAGGTGGGAAAAGATGTAAATTGTAAAAAGTATGTGTAGGCGGGAAAGTTTTTTTTTTTAAATGGGGGGGGCGTTGAGAAGGGAAGAGGAAATCAGGAATATTTTTTTCAAAGCAAAATTGCTGATGATTCCTTGAGGATGAGAAAAATTGTTTTCTTGTCACTGCAACTAATCTAAGGATATTGATTGTTTATATTCCTTCTTTTGATTTCTTTACAGCAAGAGTTGAAAAGAAAATATGGCTCTTAAGTCACGTGACAACACTTTCTTTTTCCCCCGGCAACTTTAATCCGCATTTGTTTATCATCAGGGCAGCGTGATCCTTCGAAATCGATCGAAATAAAAATCCGATCTACAGCATTACCTTCAATCTGATAAACTGCTCGCTTGTTTGATTGATATGAATTAAGTGAAGAAGATATTTACAGAATTTGGGTATTTTACAAGCATATGTAGATACTGCCAGCTAAAAGACAGGGCACGTTATTCACCAATATCCCTGAATCAGACGTATCATTTTTCCAAATAATGGGCCCTGAGCTTAAAGACAGACAAGCATCGCTGTTAAAATATTACATGATGATAGACACCTGATTTTGACATTTGAAAGTAAGCCTGTATCTGACATGAAAGTAAACATCTTACTATTTTTCTCCACTAAAATAGATAGATAGATAGATAGATAGATAGTGTCATATGATACCTATAACTACAGAATGAACCCTTCTTAACACGTATACTACGCCTCTCAAGAGAGAGGGTCGAATCGAATCGAGCCGATAGTAGTTCACTCCAAACCAGACTGACAGTCATACTAACACCTTCCACATCTTGTATTATTATTTCGTGTAATATACCTTCGTTATTTCTACTCCTGCGTTCGTGTTCTTCCTTAGTCCTAACCTGGACCATAACAGATAGATAGATAGATAGATAGATAGATAGATAGATAGATAGATAGATAGATAGATAGATAGATAGATAGATTATTCTATATCGGAAGGAAAGTTAGGAATACTTGTTACATTTTGAAAGACAAGGCCACAGATTACCCTCCCTGAAATAAAAGGGTACTAAGATTAAATAAATAAATGAGAGAGCAACGCATGGATATTAAAAAGAAAATGAAAGAAATGCTGTCTATCAACTTGCCGCATAGATTCCTAACTAAAGTGAGCGTACGTTTTAAAGTGATACTACTATAATAATATAGTATAATAATAATGTAATGATAATAAAAGCAGAAAAACAATTTGAAAGCAGTTTTATGTATAAATTTAAAACATTTATGATTTTCGCCTAACTGGAAATAGTAATGCCTGAGTATCTTAACTTGCTGGGAATGTATCGAACTGAGCACTATATCAGCTACCATTTTCTGTTTGATATCCAATATTATACAAAAAAAAAGGTCGCTACCTTTAACACTTGATGAATGCTATCGGGTGAATCGATCGATATCTTGTCACGTGAATATGAGCAACACTAATTGGTTTCAGTAAAGCACAATTTCAAATAGAGTTGCAGAGGAATTATTGAGTTAATATCATTGTAACAAGCTCGCAGTAACCATTTTCATATTCCATGCTTGTGACATGTATGGAATGAAACATTTGACTACGATTTTTATAGAACTTTTAACTGCATGAATGTATCATAGATGAAAAAAAAATTCTATGCTTCTTTAGCGTGACTCCTGTCGATCAATGTATCCTAACACCACATTTGTATCCTACATTATCAAACATATGGGGAAAAGCAAAAACGAAAGGGGTGATGAAATTTATTGTTATATTATAAAATTTAAGATAACAGAATTATAAAATAAGAAATTTGACTAGAAAATCCTAAAAAAAACATATTTCAAACGCTTCAATAAAAACATCCTGAATGATTTTTTTTAGAATAGCTAGAAAAATATCGGGACAACGCCTTAATAATGTAAGATACAAATGTAATGGTAAGATAAACACTAAAGCAGAAACGGGTCGGTAAAATATATTTACAATGCTTAATAACGTAGGATACAAATATGATGGTAGGATAAACACTAAAGAATAAACTGCTCGGTAAAATATATTAACAATGCCTTAATAATGTACGACACAAATATGATTGTAGGATAAACACGAAAGCAGAAACTGATCGGTAAATATATATTTACAATGCCTTAATAATGTAAGATACAAATATGATTGTAGAATAAAAACTAACACAGAAACTGGTCGGTAGAATATAATTACAATGCTTTAATAATGTAGTATACAAATATAATCGAAGAATGAAAACTAAAACAGAAACTGGACGCGAAAAAAAATTACAATGCCTTAATAATATAGAATAAAAATATGATGGTAGGATAAAACTAAATACTGAACTGCTCGGTAGAATATATTTACATTGCCTTAATAAAGTAGAATACAAATATTATAGTAAGGTAAACACTAAAACAGAAAGTGACCGATAGAATATATTTACAATGCCATCATAATGCAGGATACAAATATGATGGTAGGATAAACACTAAAACAGAAACTCGTCGGTAAAATAGATTTACAGTGCCTTAATAATGTAGGATAAAACTATTAAGGTACGATAAACACTAAAGCAGAAACTGATCGGTAAAATATATTTACAATGCCTAAATAACGTAGGAGAAGAATATGATGGTAGGATAAACACTAAAGAATAAACTGGTCGGTAAAATATATTAACAATGCCTTAATAATGTAGGATGCAAATATGATGGTAGGATAAACAATATAACAGAAACTGGTCGGCAAAATATATTTACAATGCCTTAACAATGTAGGATACAAATATTATGGTAGGATAAACACAAAAACAGAAACAGGCCGGTAAAGTATATTTACAATGCCTTAATAATGTAGGATGCAAATAAGATGGTAAGATAAACAATAAAGAAAAAAATGATCGGTAAAATATATTTACAATGCCTTAATAACGTAGGATACAAATATGATGGTAGGATAAACACTAAAGAATAAACTGCTCGGTAAAATATATTTACAATGCCTTAATAATGTACGATACAAATACGATGGTAGGATAAGCAATAAACAGAAACTGGACGCGAAAATATACTTACAATGCCTTAATAATGAAGGATACAAATATTATGGTAGGATAAACACGAAAGAAAAAAATGATCGGTAAAATATGTTTACAATGTCCTTAATAACGTAGGATAAAAATGTTATGGTAGTATAAACTGTAAAAAATAAACTGGTCGGTAAAATATATTTACAATGCCTTAATAATGTAGGATGCAAATATGATGGTAGGATAAACACTAAAGCAGAAAATGGTCGGTAAAATATATTTACATTGCTTTCATAAAGTAGAATACAAATATGATGGAAGGATAAACACTAAAGAATAAAATGGACGGTAAAATACATTTACAATGCTTTAATAATTTAGGATTCAAATATGTTGGTAGGAAAAACACTAAAGAATAAACTGGTCGGGAAAATATATTTACAATGACTTAAAAATGTAGGATAAAATATGATGGTAGGATAAACACTAAAGCAGAAACTGATCGGTAAAATATATTTACAATGCCTTAATAACGTAGGATAAAAATATGATGGTAGTATAAACACTAAAGAATAAACTGGTCGGTAAAATAAATTTGCAATCTCTTAATAATGTACGATGCAAATATGATGGTTGGCTAAACACCAAAGCACAAACTAGTCGGTAAAATATATTTACAGTGGCTTAATAATGTAGGATAAAAATATGATGGTAGGATAAACACTAAATAATAAACTGGACGGTAAAATACATTTACAATGCCTTAATAATATAGGATACAAATATGACGGTAGGATAAATACAAAAACAGAAACAGGTCGGTAAAATGTAATTACAATGCTTTACTGATGTAGGATGCAAATATGATGGTGGGATAAACAACAAAGCAGAAACTGATCGGTAAAATATATTTACAATGCCTTAATAATGTAGGATACAAATATGAATGTAAGAAAAACACTAAAGCATAAACTGGTCGGGAAAATATATTTACAATGCCTTAATAATGTAGGATGAAATATGATGGTAGGATAAAGACTAAAGCAGAAAATGATCAGGTAAAATATATTTACAATGTCTTAATAACGTAGGATAAGAATATGATGGTAGTATAAACACTAAAGAATAACCTGGTCGGTAAAATAAATTTGCAATCTCTTAATAATGTAGGATGCAAATATGATGGTAGGATAAGCACTAAAAAAATGGTCGGTAAAATATATTTACATTGCCTGAATAAAGAAGAATACAAATATGATGGTAGGATAAACTCTAAAGAATAAACAGGTCAGGAAAATATATTTACAATGCCTTAATAAAGCAGAATACAAATATGATTGTAGGATAAACACTAAAACAGGAACTGGTCGGTTAAAATATATTTACAATGCGTTAATAATGTAGGACACAAAAATGATGGTAGGAGAAACACTGAAACAGAAACTTTTTCAGCAAAATATATTTACAATGCCTTTATAATGTAGGATACAAATATGATATTAGGGTAAACAGTAAAGCATACACTGATCGGTAAAATATATTTACAATGCCTTAATAACGTAGGATACAAATAGGATGGTAGGATAAACACTAAAGAATGAGCTGCTTGGTAAAATATATTTACAATGCCTTAATAATATACGATACAAATATGATAGAAGGATAAACAATAAACAGAAACTGGACGCGAAAATATATTTACAATGCCTTAATAATGAAGGATACAAATATTATCCTAGCATAAACACTAAAAAAAACTGATCAGTAAAATATATTTACAATGCCTTAATAACGTAGCATAAAAATATTATGGTAGTATAAACTGTAAAGAATAAACTGGTCGGTAAAATATATTTACAATGCCTTAATAATGTAGGATGCAAATATGATGGCAGGATAAACACTAAAACAAAAAATGGTCGGTAAAATATATTTACACTGCCTTCATAAAGTAGAATACAAATATGATAGTAGGATAAACACTAAATAATAAACTGGGCGGTAAAATAAATTTGCAATGCCTTAATAATGTAGGATGCAAATATGATGGTAGGATAAACATTAAAACAGAAACTGTTCTGCAGAATATATTTACAATTCCTTCATAATGTAGAATACAAATATGATTGTAGGATAAACACTAAAGAATAAACTGCTCGGTAAAATATTTTTCAATGGCTTAATAATGTAGGATACAAATATGATGGCAGGATAAACACTAAAGAATATAATGCTCGGTAAAATATATTTACAATGCCTCAATAATGTAAGATACAAATATGATGGTAGGATAAACTCTAAAGCAGAAACTGATCTGTAAAATATATTTACAATGCCTTAATAATGTAGGACGCAAATTTGATGGTAGGTTAAACACTAAATAATAAACTGGTCGAGAAAATATATTTACAATGCCTTAATAATGTAGGATGAAATATGATGGTAGGATAAACACTAAAGTATAAACTGCTAGGTAAAATATATTTACATTGTCTTAATAATGTAGGATACAATTATGATGGTAGGATAAACACGAAAGCAGAAACTCATGGTTAAAATATATTTACAATGCCTTAATAACATAGGATACAAATATGATGGTAGGATAAACACTAAAGAATAAACTGCACGGTAAAATATATTTACAATGCCTTAATAATGTACGATACAAATATAATGGTAGGATAAACACTAAAGAATATACTGCTCGGGAATATATATTTACAATGCCTCAATAATGTAAGATACAAATATGATGGTAGGATAAACACTAAAGCAGAAACTGATCGGTGAAATATATTTACAATGCCTTAATATTGTAGGATACAAATATGATGGTAGGATAAGAATTAAAACAGAAACTGGTTGGTAAAATATATTTACAATGCCTAAATAATGTATGATACATATATGATGGTAGGATAAACACTAAAGAAGAAACTGGACGGCAAAATATATTTCAATGCCTTAATAATGTAGGATACAAATATTATAGTATGATAAACACTAATGTAGAAACTGATGGGTAAAAGATATTTACAATGC